GAGGCTCCCTGCCGCAAACGCCGCAGCACACAGGTGAGGAGTGCCAGGGGGGTCTCGGTGCAGCTCTCCACTCTCCACCCACGCCGGGGAGACTGCAGAGGAGCAGCAGCCCTGCCAGCATGCCGAGCGCTTCCCCCAGGCTGAAATGAAACACCTCAGGGAGCCAAAAACCACAGAGAGACCAGTAAGAGCACCGCAGGGTCGGAGTTTCTCCCCGCTGCTGGGCCATCCACCTCCTCCCTGTCCTGTGTCCCTGCCGCTGGTTCTGTTAAAATCACTCCGGTCCTTGCAAATGCTCTCCAGATGCTTCCTGGCTGGTACCAGTTACACCGACAGGTCCCAGCCTCGCAGAGAACACCCCGAGCCACCGCAGAGCCTCGAGAGAGCAGACACCAAGGGACACATTATGCAGGAAGGATTTTTTCTTTAGGTTCAAGAAAAATACCCAGCCCTCAGCACCCTGACCCCATCACCAGCCTCTGCTCCAAGATGTCTATGCAGCCAGCAGCAAGCTGCACTGATTCAGACCGACCGAAGGGTCGGGAGGGTCCTGGTCTCCCCATCTGTTATCTGTGATAAGCAGCTACACTGCCACAGAGAGCCGCCAGCAAAGCTGGCAACGGGACCGAGACCGCCTGAAACCAACTCTGCCCCTCAGCCTCCCCAACCCTTTTTTTTTGCCCAGGGAGCTTTCATGGCATTTTATTCCAGTAAACCACGTTATTTTCTGCCAAGCAAAATGACTGTCAAGCAGGTCAAACATTACCTGCCCAAAAACTTTAGTTCTGCCACTCAGGTTATCTTGAATTGTGTAGAATAAATCTCAGCTGGAAAAATCCATGCAAACCAGGGCTGGTTTATATGGCAAAATGAAAATCCTGCTGATTTACACTGGCTGAAGGAGATGTTTGAGTTCTGCAGCAGCCTCAGCTCTGGGGGTACAGCTGGAGGAGCTCCCTCGCACTCCAGACGCTGCCGAACTGAGGAGCTGCCGGTACTGCATCCTTCAGAGCAGGAGGCTTAAAACCAGGCCCCACAACACTCAAACGCCACACCACCAGTTTAGACCAGCAGAAACCACAGCAGAGAGAACAGGAAGGACCACAGCACATGCTCCAGATCACCTCGTCTCTGCTGCCATCTCAGACAGGGCTCGAGGACAGCCGTGGATTTGCGTTGAGGGAGAACACAGCACTGCTCTGCTTGGCAGGCGCTGGCCCAACATATTTCTGCTTTGGACCCGCTGTTGCTCTGCTGCTTTCATCCTGACCTTGGTGCAGACGCTGTGCCAGCACCAAGGCTCTCGCTCTGCAGGACCCTCGGCATCCTGCCGTGCTTGCTGGCATTCGGACATCTCCCCTTTACACCCCGTCCCCGCAGGCACCAGCCACGAGGTGACCACAGCCTCCCCGCTTGATGGTAATGGTGGGGTGGGAGGAAGAACGACCACCTTCCCCCCCGGCGCAGCACCCAGCGTTGGGGCTGCTCATGAACTGGGCAACAAAAGCCAGGCCAAAGGGGCTGCCATCGTCTCGGGGTGTTCAGTGGTCACTGAGCACATTGCAGGGGGGTCCCAGAGCCCAGGCTCTACATCACAAGCCTCTTCCTGCTTGTGTTTAGCACCATCTCCCCTGCTTTTCCTTTGCCTGGGGGTCTCAGGAGTGGGGTCAGCCCCCCGACGGGCTGCAGCGGAGATGGGCGCAAGGGCAGGGCTTGTTTTGAGGCCATTCAGGCTGCACCCTGGTTGTGGAGCTCCAGCATCCGCCAAGGGGGAAAACTAAACCCACACGAGGTGTTCAATGAAGTGAGAGGTTCCCTGCCCTGCACAGACCAGCAGCCGAGGTGTTGGCGGGGATATTCCCACAGACAGAGAGTGCTTCCCCCCTGGATCCTTTATTCAGCACCAGAGGACAGACACCCAGCCCCCCAGGGATGAAGTTTTATTGTCCTGTTCAACAGGGGGGAAAAAAACCAACCACCTGGAAATGGAGCGTCAGAGAGGCTTTTCCCTCCTCAGCTCCTGGGCTGAAATAGACTGACAACATCTTTAATCAGATGCCAGACGGAGGCAAACCTGAAGCAGCGAGGCTGCCGGTCGCCTGCGGACTCGCCGAGGAGGAGGCCAGGCTGCCTGGCACCGCCACA